TTTTAACTTTTGGAAACAAAAATGTATCAACTAAAAAGAACCGTAAGATTTGTGGTTAACTATAGCAGACTGGCTTTGTGTCTACTTTCCCTCCTCTGAAACTTATTAAAATAGTAAGAAATAAAAAAAATGAGAACAGGAAAAAAATTTTAATATATTTTTAGATACAGTAATTAAACTAAGCAGACTGAAGGAAGCTATAACTAAGATGCCTGAAGAAAGGGAAAGTATTACAAGGTTTATTTCATAAGAACTTCAGAAACATTTGTCTTTCTCTGCAGTGGAGTCTGCACCTTCCCTTTGAGTTCATACAACAAAGTTCCCTGCCAAGGCCTCTGCAAGCTGACTCCCTAGTGCTTCACCTGGCCTCTCACCCAGACTCCGTGCTGGATTTAATGTTCTGTATGGATTTATGAATGACTGAGTGAGATAAATCAACTCAGCTTGTCCCAAATGGTGATGGCACAGAGTGATGCCGAGGGGACAGCCTTCAGATGATCAAGGTGGACTCCTAGTACATGTTTTCCATTCCCAGAAGAAGAAATTAAAGCTCTTTTTTAAAATTTTATTTCTTTTTCTTTTTTTTTAAATTTTTTTGACAGGCAGAGTGGACAGTGAGAGAGAGAGAGAGAGAGATAGAAAGGTCTTCCTTTGCTGTTGGTTCACCCTCCAATGGCCACTGCGGCCGGTGCGCTGCAGCCGGCGCACTGCGCTGATCCGATGGCAGGAGCCAGGTACTTATCCTGGTCTCCCATGGGGTGTAGGGCCCAAGTACTCGGGCCATCCTCCACTGCACTCCCGGGCCACAGCAGAGAGCTGGCCTGGAAGAGGGGCAACCGGGACAGAATCTGGCGCCCCGACCGGGACTAGAACCTGGTGTGCCGGCACCGCAAGGCAGAGGATTAGCCTAGTGAGCCACGGCGCCAGCCGAAATTAAAGCTCTTCACAGCTCAAATCTGATCCCATTCTCTTTTCAGCCAACATTCTTTCTCTTCTTCACCTAGACAGCCCCTACTCATACTTCATAGAGATATATTTGCTGGGACAGTTCAAATTTTCCTTCCTTATTCATTCATTCATCTATTTGAAAGTCAGAGCTACAGAGAGAGAGAGAGAGAGGCAGAGAGAGAGAAAGGCAGAGAGAGAGAGGTCCTCCATCTGCTGGCGCACTCCCCAACTGGCCACAGCGGCTGGAGCTAAGCTAATCCAAAGCCAGGAGACTCTTTCAGGACTCCCACGTGGGGCAGGGGCCCAAGGACTTGGGCCATCTTCCACTGCCTTCCCAGGCCACAGCAGAGAGGTGGATCAGAAGTGGAGCAGCTGGGTTTCAAACCAGCACTCATATGGGATGCTGGCATTGTAGGCAGTGGCCCTACCTACCATGCCACAGCACCAGCCCCTCGAATTCTCCTTTGAGAGATTCTCATTGCCCCTGTAGCCCTCTTTACAGTATTCACCACAATCAGAACCTCCTCTCTGTTGATGTTAACATACATTTATTCCACATTGATAGAGACATAGATACCCATTAGGTAGACAGGGTAAAGGGGATCCCTTCCCATCATCTGGAGCCAAGTCTCAGAGGACCCGAGAGAAGTCAAACAACTGGCTTCTATGAAGGATTTCTGTGATTGGAGGCTTAATTTTCAACTAACAAACAAAAGAAACTGTCACTTTTCAATGCCTCTCCCAGACCAATTGAAAGAACTTCCCATTTTTCAGCCTACAGTACTATTTCCCTCTTTAAGTCTACTTGCATTAACTTTTAAGTCATAAGGACTAGGCCTCATCTAGCATATGGTAGGTGGATGCTTACAAAATACAGAATATTTTGGGGGTAGAAAAAAATGAATAAGCAATTTCTTTCCCTCTACCTTTGAAGTCTTTTTACTTATTGTTTTATTTCGTTTTTTAAAAAAGATTTTATTTATTTATTTGAGAAGCAGAGCTACAGATATATAGAGAGAAGACAGAGAGAAAGGTCTTCCACCTGTTGGTTCACTCCCCAAACGGCTGCAATGGTCAGAGCTGGGCCCATCCGAAGCCAGGATCCAGGAGCTTCTTCTGGGTCTTCTATGCGGGTGCACAGACCCAAGCAACTGGGCAATTTCCACTGCTTTCCCCGGACATAGCAGAGAGCTGGATACGAAGAAGAACATCTGGGACACGAACCAGCACCCATATGGGATACTGGTGCCACAGGCAGAATCTGAGCCTACTATAGCGTAACGCCAGACCCTACTTATTGTCTTCTATGACTACAAAGCTCTTTTCTTGAAATTCATGTCTTATTATAATTTGTCTAATTATCAAAAATTCTAAAAATGCTCTTGAATTAGAGGTGTACAATACTAAGACAGATAAGTTACTGAAAACAAGATGATACTGTATATATAATATTTATATAATGTACTTTTCATGAACTGTCTTAAATTCCTTTGTATTCAAGGATTTCAAAATTTTTTGAATTAAAAGAAACTTCTCTTTTAATTTCACTTTTCAAGAACTTTTTGAAGTAGCTTTGTAGCATTTGACCTTCTAGGTCCCTTTTTCTGGCCTCAATCCCCAAAACCTCCAGAGGTTTGGTATCCAGAGAAAATGAAATTGAGAAACTCTAATTGTGGAACTTGGTGGAGGAGGGAGAAGTTGCTGGACTGAAATCAGACAGATGAAAAGAAAAATTACATATTGGAAATGGAAATTCTAGCAATCTTGCTAATAGTGCTGGCAGGAGATTAAGGATTCTTTTTTTTCTCTAGGTATCTGTAATGGGTTATCAAAGAAAAGAATGACATGAGGCAGGAGAGGGGAATGAAAAGAGCTGATATATTCTGCCTCCTCCACCCATTATTTTCTAGCTAAATCCTGTAGCTTTATTCTCTAATCATAAGGACAGAGGGGTGGTGTTGTGGTGCAGTGGGTTAAGCAGTTGTCTGTGGCACTGGCATATCATATGAGCAAATGCTTGAGCCCCAGATGCTCTGCTTCTGATCCAGCTCCCTGCTAAGGCACCTGGGAAAGCAGCAGAAGATGGCCTGAGTGCTTGGGCCCCTGCACCCATGTGAGGGACTCAGAGGGAATTCCAGGCTCCTGACTTCAGCCTGGCACAGCCCTGGCCATTAGGGTCATTCGGGGAAGGAACTAGCAGATGGAAGATTTGTCTTTTTTTTTTTTTTTTTGACAGGCAGAGTGGACAGTGAGAGAGAGAGACAGAGAGAAAGGTCTTCCTTTGCCGTTGGTTCACCCTCCAATGGCCGCCGCGGCCGGCGCGCTGCGGCCGGCGCACCGCGCTGATCCGATGGCAGGAGCCAGGAGCCAGGTGCTTTTCCTGGTCTCCCATGGGGTGCAGGGCCCAAGCACCTGGGCCATCCTCCACTGCACTCCCTGGCCACAGCAGAGGGCTGGCCTGGAAGAGGGGCAACCGGGACAGAATCCGGCGCCCCAACCGGGACTAGAACCCGGTGTGCCAGCGCCGCTAGGCGGAGGATTAGCCTATTGAGCCGCGGCGCCGGCCTGGAAGATTTGTCTTTCTGTGTCTGTCTCTCTCCCTCCATCTCTCTCTGTCTCTAACTCTGCCTTTCAAACAAACAAATAAATCTTCAGGAGAAAAAAAAAAGATGGAAAACAAGGATTACTGAATATTTAAAGAATATCTCACATGTAAAAAGGAAATAAGCTAACTAGAAAAAATAGAAAGCAGAGAATCCAAGAAACAGAGGAAAATTAAAGAGAAATCTATTGAAATAAAAGGAAGATGACAAAAAATAAAAGAAAAAAGGAAAGAAAAATCAGATAATCACCTCTTGGAAAATAAAATAGGAATCATCTCCTCTTTTCATATCCCCAATTCTCTACTGAGGAGAAGGCAGAATAAACTCTTATTCAGACATATTAAGTCTCAAAAAAACCACTTCCCATATACCCTTTACTCAGGAATTTAATGGAAGATGTGTTCTAGCAAAGGAAACATAAACTGAGAAGAAAATGTGGCATCTAGGAAACAGACTCTGACACAGTAGAGAGTCAAAGGGAACAGGGTAACAGCAAAGGGATTATCACATCTGAGGGATACACAGAAGAGATACAGACTGCGGCAAAAACCTGAACTGATAGACCATGTGTGTGACTATGTTTTATCATGTGAAAACCAGAGGCCACTGATAGATACTTAGTAATAAGCATATGGTAAATTAAGTAAATGAAGATGTGAGACACTTTAGTCCAAGAAAAAGGAAGGGTTGCAGAAGGAAAGCGGCATGGTCATAAGGTACTATTTAGTTATGATATCTATTATTACATAGTGACATGACTGTAAATGCTATTAATTTTATTAACACTGATAAGGCTACATCTGAGTGACAGGGAAAGGGGCAGGCTGCATGGTTAGGTATGGAAGATAATCTCATTTAACACTGCATTAAATTCATAACATCCAAAGTAGATAAAATAGAAACTAACATTATCTGCATGTTTTGGGAATTTTGAAGGAAAAGACAAAGGAATCTATCAGAAAACCAGAGGAAAACTACTTCTAGGGAATGAAACTAGGGATTGGTGAGAAAGTGACACTTTTCTTTATTAGCTTTATGATAATATGACTTGTTTTTAAAGATTTACTCATTTATTTGAAAGGCAGAGTTACAGAGAGGCAGAGGCAGAAGCAGAGAGAGAGGTCGTCCAGACCTCTAGGTAAATCTAAGCTTTGGACAATATGACATATCAAACTTATAGTCACTACTAAAACATCAATCTAAAAAAAATTCCAGTTGATATTTATTGTATCTTTCTTTATATCATTTTTACTCAAGGGTAAGTTTCATTAATAAAATTATAATAATATTCTACTCTTAAAAGACATACTGTCAGGAAACCAATCATTAAAAATTTCACAATTTGCAACACATTTTTCTATAGTAAAATTAAGTCATAATGATAAATCTGAAAGAATCTGCATGCATAAGTAATTAAAGTGTTGTCAAAATTAGCAGTAGAAAATTTACCTGACATAGAGAGATCGCTTCTGGCTAGTTCGAAGAGATCCTGACCCTGAACTAATGCTACTATTCATCATCTGCTCCCGTAAGTCATGTATTTTAGCTTCAAAACGACTGTATTCTAAAGGGAGAAAAAGAAAAATAAATTTATTTATGTTCTTAAAATATTAACTGAAGACAAAGTGTCAAAAATGTAAACTGTTTTAAGATTGAGGAGGTATGCTAGAACCTTAAAATAGTAATCTGCATTTCATCAATCATGAAAAGTAAAAAAAAAAAGTGTACCATAAATTAGAATTAATTGAGCTAGAATTTTCCCATGTGCTATTTTAAGGTTCATATTACATTTAATCAATAAAAAGGTAATTTCCATGCATGAGATAGTATTAGCTATATTACAGTATTGTCTAATTGGAGTAACTTTTAAAATCAGGATTTGCTCTAATTTTTATATTGGAAAAGAAATAATATACCATATGCTTTGATGACTTTTCCCCTTGTCTTATATTCTTAAACATAAAACTTGTGTAGGGACAATAATAAATGGAAAAATATATCATAAAAATGAGAAACGGAATTTTAGCTCATTTTATCATTAACAAATTGTCAAATTGCCCAAATAAGATTCAAAAGCAATCAGAAATAACATCTATAAACATTTTTATTTAAAACATTTTTCACATAAAAACACATATGATTTTGGAAGATGGACTATTTTAAATAATACTATATATTAAAAATGATAATCTATGAATAAAAAACCTTAAGCATCTTTTAAAAAATATTATATAGTTATACACACTTATCTTTTTCTCTATTTATAACAAATTCTTTTACAGACAGGTCAAATCAAATTTGATTTTCTCTGAGCCAGCCTCAGAGCAAACAAGTTCTGTGGGAGTTTGTACAGTTTAAGATGACATTAGTTAAGAGTAAGTCTGATTATTGTTTACTCTTCCTTCCACCATAGTCATCAAATTTGGTTTATGAATAGTATGATCAAAGAAGCCAAGAATTCGTTGAGAGACACATTTAAAAGCTCTCATTAATATCAAATGAAATATTCTATTGTCCTTGAAAGAATCAATAAAAATCTAAATAAAACATTAGTAGACTGATTAGTATAATGTATCCCTTGTAACTCAATAATTAATGAATCCAGGACAAATCTTTCGTATGTGTAGACATAGTTAAGACACAGATAAGTGAATCAAGATATATAAAAATATAAGGTACATTATGAATTTATAATAGTTCCTTTAATTAAAAATTAGGATTACTGGGATTTTAATGTATCTTACATTTATATGTGCTTTATTACATATCAAGAGGCTTGAGTTTTAAGAAACAGGAAAATAACAGAATTGAGTACTGTGTAATGACTTATTTTATACAATTTTACATTCACAATTGTGAATAGTAATGCCAATACTACCACTTACTGCAAACAGTTAGCTATTTCCCTATCCCCCCCCCTTTTAAATCCATAGGGTACAGTCCACTAGGGATATAAAGTTGAATTGGAAGTTTCTCCCTGGGTGTAATATTGCCAAAAGGATACACATTTAGGTTCACTTGTTTCTTTTTATTTTCTACTTCAAATTTTCTACTGTTTTAGTAAAGAAGTAAAGTAGTTCCAAAATCAAATCTGTAAAAAAAAGCTACTAAAAAAAAGAAAGAAAAGAAAAATAACTCCTGGAGTGCATATTTTGCCCATCTGTTAACACTTTTACTTCCTATAATGGACTGTCTAGGTTTGACACATGCTTCTGATACCTGACTCCAGCAAACTGCTAATGCAGACCTTGGGAGACAGTGGTGATGGCTCAAGTAACTGGGTTTCTGTCCCTATGCTGGAGACCAGGATTGAGTTCCTGGCTCTTGGCTTCCATGTGGCATGGCTTTTGAGAGCATCTAAATGGTGAACCAACCAGCAGACGGGAGCTCTAGCTTGTGCTCTCTCAAAAAACTGATTAATTAAACAATAAAAAGAGAAGAAATGCCTTAAAATAAGAGTCCAGCCTCTATTTTTCTCATCTTATTCCATCTTGGTTATTATGTATATAGCTAAAGAAAGGCTTCTTCTTCCATTTTTAACAATAAAAGAAGATACATACACATGCAAATACTTTCATACTTATTCTGTATCATTTTATGTATATGTCACTGTATGTATATATGCACATTTATTATTTTCTTAAATGAACAGCAATATACATTTTTCCACTTCTTGTTTATTTCCACTTCTTGTGTATTCAGATGTTCTCCATTCTGTTTTTACAGCTATATAATCCTTCTGTCTTCAACCATTACCTTTGTTGAAGGTATGTCTCCTACATATTGTGTAGGGTTAGATTTTGCTTTATTAATAAATCTGAAAACTGTTTTAAGATGATTTAACTTTTCTTATGATTGCTGGTTTATGATCATAGCTTTATCCTTACCATTTTGTGTTACATATAAATAGCCCGTCACAGTATACTTTCCCAAAATGCCCACATCCCACATGCGTTTGAACAACCTGAACTTGTCATTCCTCCATCAAAAGGTGGAGTCTTAATTCCCCTTGCCTTTAATCTGAGCTAGTTTTTTTTTTTTTTTGACTCACCTGGAAGCAAGAGAATATGGTAAAACAGATCCTGTGTGACTTGCAAGGTTAGAGTAAGAGAGGCTTTTGCCTTACTTATTAAATATTTTTTTGGATGTTCGTTTTGAGGTAAACTAGAAGCCATGCTACAAGTCCAACCATTCTAAAATCATCATGCTACAAGAGGTCACACAACTGTTCTCTGAACCCAAACTTTTCAGTCAGTACTATCAAGCCACAAGACAAGGGGAGTTAAGCCATAACAGACCCTCCAAAGTAGCTACTAGTTGAGTTCCATTAAGTGACCCTAGTTGATTCCACATAGAAGAAACTTCTAGTTAAAATCCTGCCTATATTCCTAACCTTGTGAATTCATAAAATGAATTTTAACTCAGTAGGCTTTGGGATATTTTGTTATAAAGCAACAATAACTGTAATACAGTCTCATTGAGTGATTTAAGTTTGTGTGTGTGTGTGTGTGTGTGTGTGTGTGAAACTTTATGGAAGTCTGTCCTTCTATTCTAATGGTCAAGGAAAAAAAAAAAACACAAAAACATACTATGAACAAATCTCTCCAGATCTGATCTGAAATATTACCCTCTTATACCCAGTTACAAACTTTAATGAAATCAGAAAGTTTATACTTTTCTGTTTTTTTTTTTTTTTTTTTTTTTTTGACAGGCAGAGTGGACAGTGAGAGAGAGAGACAGAGAGAAAGGTCTTCCTTTGCCGTTGGTTCACCCTCCAATGGCCGCCGTGGCCGGCGGGCTGCGGCCGGCGCACCGCGCTGATCCGATGGCAGGAACCAGGTACTTATCCTGGTCTCCCATGGGGTGCAGAGCCCAAGCACTTGGGCCATCCTCCACTGCACTCCCTGGCCATAGCAGAGAGCTGGCCTGGAAGAGGAGCAACAGGGACAGAATTCGGTGCCCCGACCAGGACTGGAACCCGGTGTGGCAGCGCCGCAAGGAGGAGGATTAGCTTAGTGAGCCGCGGCGCCGGCAAGAAAAGAGATTTTTAAAAGGTGTTTATTTATTTATTTGAGAGAGTTATAGACAGAGAGAGGGAGAGACAGAGAGAGAGGTCTTCCATCCCACTGGTTCACTCCCTAGATGGCTACAACAGCTGAAGCTGAGACGATCCAATGCCAGGATCCAGGTGCTTCTTCTGGGTCTTCCACATGGGTACAGGGGTCCAAGGACTTCTATTGCTTTCTCAGACCACAGTAGAGAGCTGGACTGGAAGAGGAGCAGCCAGGACTTGAACTAGCACCCATATGAAATGCTGGCGCTGCTGATGGAGGCTTAGACTACTAGACCCCAACGCCAGCCCTATACTTTTTCTTTTTTTGACAGGCAGAGTGGACAGTGAGAGAGAGACAGAGAGAAGTCTTCCTTTGCCGTTGGTTCACCCTCCAATGGCTGCCGCGGCCGGCGTGCTGTGGCCGGCACACCGCGCTGATCCAATGGCAGGAGCCAGGTACTTCTCCTGGTCTCCCATGAGGTGCAGGGTCCAAGGACTTGGGCCATCCTCCACTGCACTCCCTGGCCACAGCAGAGAGCTGGCCTGGAAGAGGGGCAACCGGGACAGAATCCAGCGCCCCGACCGGGACTAGAACCCGGTGTGCCGGTGCCGCAAGACGGAGGATGATCCTATTGAGCCACGGCGCTGGCCTAACAGCCCTATACTTTCATATTATTTTCAAGTTCCCAATTTTACGATAACTGTACTTAATCAAGTAGTCAGCATATACAGACTTTACATTACATACTCTTCCTCACAGTCATCTTCATCAATGCACACACCAGTCCTTATGTCTGATCTTTCCCATCATGTGGAAGTCTGAAGGTTGTTCTTTCCACAGGCAGTGTTTATACAGATAATACACCCTAATTCTTCACTAATACATTTGACTGAAGCTTTTATGTGAAAATCTGTTTCATTTTTTGATTTTTCTTTCACTCTGAGTTTGTTCACTTCATTGTTGTTTATAAGCCACTACCAATGAAATTCTGATTAACAATTTTATTTCTTTTCTTTAAAAAGGACTTTGAGAGGCTGATGTTGTGGAATAGTGGGTTAAGCCACTGCTTATGATGCTGGCACCCCATATGGGTGGCAGTTTGTGTCCCGGCTGCTCCATTTCCTATTCAGCTACCTGCTAATGTGCCTGGGAAAGCAGTGGAGGATGGCCCAGCCCTGGCCACTGTGGCCACCTGAAGAGTCAATCAGGAGATGGAGGATCTCTTTCTCTGTAACTTTCCCTTTCAAATCAATCAATTTTTAAAAAAAATTTATTTATTTATATGAAAGTCAGAGTTACACAGAGAGAGGAGAGGCAGAAAAAGAGAGAGAGAGAGAGAGAGAGAGAGAGGTCTTCCATCCGATGGCTCACTCCCAAATTGGCCACAATGGCCAGAGCTGCACCAAATCGGAGCCAGGAGCTTCTTCCGGGTCTTCCATGTGGGTACAGGGGCCCAAGGGCTTGGGCCATCTTCTACTGCTTTCCTAGGCCACAGCAGAGAGCTGGATTG